TGTTATCAATATGATATTCTGATAACTTAAATTACAAAACTATTATGTAATAAACCAAAATAAAATCGAATTTTGATACGATACCAAATTGACCAAATAAATTAAATGATCTGCCGCTGTTATTATGGAATTTAACTTTTCATATTATAATTATTACAAACGAAATATTGGGTGCAATATTGAATGATATACAATTACCATTTACATGTAAATCACTATTTTATAATTAAACTGTAACAGCTAAATTAATGGTTGGTCATCAATAGCTTTAAAAAACTAGTTTCGGTGACTGATAATACTTATTTCTTAAAATTGACATTTATCGTCAACATCCTGGAACAGCTGGAATATATAATACCGTCAAACGGAGTGAATATAATTCAAAGGATGAATAGATATAGGAATAGGGTAAATAGATTTTAGAACATTTTCTCAACATTTATTAACCCCTCTTCTATATCTATTCACTGAACGAATTCTATTCAGCCTGTTTTACTGTTTCCGATAGTGCTGGATAGTTTGCGCGGATTCGATTCCCGCACGGAGCAACTCCTTGTGTGATCCACAAATTGTTGTTTCGAGTCTGATTGTCATGTGTATGTGAACTTGAATGTTTGTAAAGTCCAAGTGTGGGGCAATTTTTTTAAATATCACCGCTCTGAGCAGATGCTTTAAGACATCGCAGACTTTGTCATACCACTTAAAGCAGTTTACCCACATTGCAATATGTTCCTCACTTTATGTAATAACCGGAAAAAAATAGAATATCTATGTATTAAATCAATTTATCGGAAAAATTACTGACGTCAACAGTCAATCAATGTACAAGTACATAAGTGCCGTACGTAATTAGTGGACTAGTATATAAATGTAAAGATATAATTAGAGGTCACTATGGTTAATAGAGACATGTAAATTATGGTATAATTGAGTTACATCAGAACTAGTTGGTGTTATGTAAAAATGAGATAATTTAAGAAGTTTAATGCTTCAATTTGTTCTATTTTGGGAATGCTAATTAATCAGTATCGGATATAAAAATTAACTTTGAGTCAAGACTGCAGAGTCTATGCGTAGAATTTTGTCTACGCATAATTGTTTTTGAACTTCTGACAACCATGTTCAACTGTTCAACCATGAACAAATGTTGCTGAACATTGCATGAACATTTGACTATTTCAGCTTAATATTTCCACCCATTTGTCAAAAACATTTCGGAAAGAGACACAGACAAACACCAGACTATATAGAAAATTATGTGGCGACACATGTCAAATGACAGTTCAAACAAATCAACGAATGACGTCACAAAAATCCTACATCGCACATGCAAATTAACTCGGATATAAAACCCCAACGAACAACTGTTGGACCGAAAGCCCGCCAGGCATGATCACCTCGCCTGGTCGGAGGATCCTCCTTTTCCGATCTTAAGGAACTATACACTCTGTTCCCTAAAAGTACAGTCTATTTCCTCAGCAGCAAGGTCTTCTGTTTCTCGCTTCAAACAACTTCTATTCCTTAAAAAAAATGTTTAAAAGAGGTGCCATAATCACCTGACTCCATGGTAAGCCAACATGGTCAGTCGATGGTCTCGGACGGTAGTGTATCTGGAGTACGCCGCGATGATATGAAGTCCTGGTATGAGTATCTTGTAGAGCCCTTGCTTAACTGTGACCAGCCATACCAGGATGCAACCGATGATTGTCAGCTGCATGTCCAGCGCCAGTTGGTGGGTTTGAGGGGCACACTAGAATTTGAAGGGGTTTTTATGTAATAGTTATATTACATAATGAAGGCTTTCTTTTCTATGGTTGAAAAATAAATGCTACATGGGTATGGAGTAACAAATTTACTTATTTTGAAAATGGACTTGCGCGACTGCCTCGTTGGCCGAGTGCTCGCAAGTACGATTGCCGGGCAAGGGGTCTCGAGTTAGACTCCCGGGCAAGGCAAAGTATTACTTGTTTCTTTAAAAATTCTCAATAGTAGCACGGAGCCTGGAATTGTGCCCGGTATATGGCAATAGGCTCACTCCCTATTACATGGAACTCATAACTTAAATTGTGAAAATTGGGTGTTACATTGTACAGTGGTATAATGTACACCATAATGGATAACAGGCGTGAAGTTATGTTATGGACTTGCCTGATTTAAATTCTACCTATAAAAGTAAACAAAGATGAGTGGATAGTATGGAAAAACATATTGATAGTCAAACAACAATTCCATACCATATCTTCAAAACCGAAGTAGTTCTGCACATACAGAAGGTTCCACCACCAGCCTTCCTGGCAGACTTCAGCATTCTTTGTGATGAACGTCCCCCACATGGGACCACTGGATAGTTTGTCCCAGACGTAAGCATAAAATATCACCACGGCGAACAGAGCTGGTGTTAACCTGGAGACAAAGAAAGATTTTTAAAGATTTGAAATGCCGTCAAAACAGAATTATTCTTTCTATCTTTTGTGATGAACCTTGGTTTTAGGAGTCAGTTTAATACGGTCATAATTTTATATGTAATGTCAAATACACTAAAGTAGGTACATAGCAAAATTAAAAAAAAAATGTCACTTTACATTTACATTGAGATGAACTAACTAAAACTTACGGTTTACTTACGTAAATATAATGAGAAAGGCTCTACTAGTTTCGAGTACGCTTGCGCGACGTCGCGTCGTCACCGCGACCGCGCACGCTGTTCATGAAGAAGAGTCCCTCTGTGACTCGAAACTAGTAGAGTCTTTTTTTTCTGAGTATATTTACGTGAGTAAGTCGTTATTTTTAGTTAGTTCAGTATGTCTCACGATATTTATCATAAACATATTGAGATGACTGTTTTTATCGAGGTATAATATAAAGCGGAATTTGTTTTTTTTGTTTGTTTTTTGTTTGAACGCGCTAATCTCGGTAACTATAAGTCCGATTTGAATAATTATTTTTGTATTGGATAGCACATTTATCGAGGATGGCTATAATATAAGCTATAAAACATCATACTACGACCAATAGGAGCTGAGCAGAGCGTGTGAAACCGCGCGGAAGTAGCTAGTTTTTCATAAAGGAAAATGTTTCCTCTTACTACAAAAACAAAAGCCGTGATATGCAGTCCTGATTTTTTCTAGCGTTCTTCAAAGTTGTCCCAATGTTGAACTGAACAAATACATAAATTGTTTACCTGGAATCAACAAACCTAAAACAATATGAATTGATCTTCACAGGACATTCCATATCAATAACAATATACTTTTTGGATCTCTAAAAGGCGTAAGTAGAAGTGTACTTGTTGCACATTGACATGACGTCAGTATCATCCAGCTCGGAAATTAAACCATAGACCATACTTTTTTTTGTGAGAGGAACACAAATTTTAAAAATAGTGCTTGCTCTTTTGCCATGGTATAGTAACGGCTTTTTTTAAGGGGGGAAAATCATCGAATGACTCCTCCCGCCTGGGTGAGACAGGAGGTAGTGTCAGACTCTTACTGACTAAAAACCACCCCGTTCCTTCTCCTGCACGTCGAACCGGAGCCCCGGTTACCTGTTAGGTTCTCCGCGACATAGTAACGGCTACCGTTGTCGAGTATCATTATAAATTACAACACACCAAAAGGTGGTCGCTTAATTAGTTTTTGTCGAAAACCCCACCGATAAAATGTATTTTAAGAACCAAGTTATGTTTATGCATTCTTGGTTTTTTCCATAATCCTTAAACGATACAGTTTGGCTAAAATTAGACTCTATAAAATTATGTCAGTTGGAGATTTACCCAATTTGGTTTAGCACACATTATACCGACGTAAGCAAAGAAGATGTTTCAATAGTTTTTCATTTTTGTTTTTCTGAGCGTCACGAAGTTTATAAAGAAATTATATACCGCATCGCTCGCCATCGACAGGGAGTTCACGGTCACACATTGGATCCCAAATAGATCCCATCGTGGAATGAACTCTCTGCTAAGGTTTTCCCGGTAGGCTATAATATGGAATTCTTCAAGAACACTTAAATGTGGGAGAGCCATGCTTCGGCACAAATGGGCTGGCTCGACCGGATTGATACCACGGCCTCACTGAAGACCGACGTGAAACAACGTTTGCGTTGTGTTTCGTCGTGTGAATGAGGTTACCGGAGGCCCAATTACCCTTTCCCCCCCCCTTTCCCCAATCCCTGAATCCCCAACAATCCTCAAATTTACAATCCCAAAAGGCCGGTAACGCACTTGCAACGCCTCTGGTGTTCCAAGTGTCCATTGGCGACGCCGATTGCTTACCATCAGGTGATCCATCTGTTCGTTTACCGGCTTATCCCATAAAAAAACAGAGTTAATAGGTTTTATAAGGGTCGATAAGGCGCATGTAATGCCCTAAGAGTTGCAAGCGTTCATAGACCACGGTAACCACGTACCATCAGGTGGGCCGTGTGCTTTTCTTGCCACCGTCGTGATGTAAACAATGCATATTATAATGTGCAATTATAGACAAATACGAGATATTTTTCCTTAAACTGTCAAACACCAAGCGGTCACCGGTGACCGCAACCTATTGTTCTATAATTGTGTCTACAAAACCGGTACTCGACGAGTTAAATTTTTAATTGAAATAGCAGACAAGGTTAATGAGTTCATTGTTTTTTGTTATGCACTTTTGTTTAAGCGTAATCATATATTTAGATTAAATATTTTGTGTAGTTTTAATGTCTATTCAGTAGGTAATGTACTTTGTTATTTGATGTTTTTTCACATGGACAATAAATCGGCCAAAATATATGTTTTCCCCAGTGATTATCAATACTACAACTGGTTCTGTTTAACTTTAAGTTATCGTACTTAGAAACATGTATTTATTTACGTGTCTATAGAAACAACGTATATGCAACTTACGATTGTTTCAAACAAATAGTGCAACGTCCTAATCAAATATTTATAATATTTTAATTGTTAGTACAATATGCTTATTTCTATTTCTCGTCAGCACATGATATCAAATATTTACTCATATTATTAGCTTTAGTAACTTTTACTATGTGTGATTACATATAGTATTTTTCTCTAAACACATCAGTAGGTTAAAATAATTATTTGTAATGAATAACATCATCACGCCTTTTTATCTCCGAAGGGGCAGGCAAAGGCACATTATGGCACTTAATTCAATTAAACTGTCAAACACCAAGCGGTCACCGGTGACCGCAACCTATTGTTCTATAATTGTGTCTACAAAACCGGTACTCGACGAGTTAAAACACACTATACAATGTAACACCCATTTTTCACCATTTATATTATGAGATATCCAGATGGGGTGAGCCTATTGCCATATACCGACCACAATTTCAGACTCCGTGCTACTACTGAGGATTTTTATAAAACCCAGAGATACTTTCCCTACCCGTGAATCGGACCCAAGAACCGGCAGTCGCTCTTACAATCACTAGGCTAACGAGGCAGTCTTCGTAACGAAGTAACGTAGTATTTTTTAAAAGTATTTAGTACTTTTTACTATGAGTTAGCCTGCCTCAGCTTTCCAAATGATACCTATATCATCAGAAGCATCATTGGGAGTACCAAGTCATGTTATGTTATGTTATATTAGTTTTAAGAAGAGTTGCCATCCAATTTGTAATTAAATGCTAAAAGGGGAAAATGTAGTTAATGGAAAGATCTCGCTATATCTCCCACCCACATTTTTTCATGGGATAAGCCTGTAGACGAGCTGACGGAACACTGGAGGAGTTTTACAAGTACGTTACCGGCTTTTTCGGGATTAGGAATTTGAGGATCGTTGAGGATTTAGGGATTAGGGAGATTGCGGAAGGGGGGGCTAATTGTACCTCAGGTAATCTCACTCACCCGACGAAACACAACGCAAGCGTATTTGTTTCACGTCGGTTTTCTGTGAGGACGTGGTATCACTCCGGTCGAGCTAGCCCGGTACGAAGTATGGCTCTCCCACAGTTTCACATTCACATTCAATAGTGATGACGTCATTGTATAAAATTATCCCTACCATAAAACGTAAGAGGAATAAAAAAAATCGAATTCACAGGCACATTTCGAAACCCAAAATAAGAAATGCTTTTTTTAATCTTACTATATTACTTTTAAGCAACCTGTATTCTTATTTTTAATACAACAGTACTAAATATAGCGACTGGACCCTTAAAGTTCGGATTTAAAACCATCAATTTAAATTCTTACCAAAACAACAACAATTAATTTATTTAATTTTGCAATCTGAATACAAGGAATGCGTTCCACTTAGGGTCTCTGCACACAGCGGGCGCGGCGCGGCGCGGCGGGACGGGACGGGACGCCGACGCGACACTAAGCCGTCCCGCTCGACGCGACGGTAACCGACGACGGCTCTGTGTGGCGTCGTCCGTAATATCTAGTACATTACAACTGCTCAGTGTCGCGTCGGCGTCCCGTCCCGCCGCGCCGCGCCCTCAATGTGCAGAGATCTTTAAGTCTCTTTTTACAAAAGCATTTGTTTATCAATATTTAGAGAGATGTTACAATGTTTTGTGAGAATTTTGTACGTACGTTTAGAATGTGTAGCGGGTTAGATGCCCGCACGGAACACGACTTTGTCTGATGGATAATTTGTGGAAACACACCCAGACGGGTGTGATGTGTATGTGAACGTGTATGTTTGTAAACGCACCCACGACCCAGGAGACAGCCCTAGCATGGGGCAACGTTTTTGAAAAAATATATTGTCATGTACTAGTTATGTGTTTAGTATTTCTGGTGAACCCATTTACCATACAGCGACCCATAAGCTTTTTGGTAGTACTTAGGAAAAATGCAGACTTTGATATTATTATTTATTACATAATATTTTTATACCTTTATGCGTATTGAAATCTGCAAATTAATTAATCAAACACGATGTCTTTTCTGCGTAATTGGCAATAGGCCCTTAATTAACTCCTATCAGTAAAATTTATCACCTCTCAAGGCTCTTCTGTTTAAGTTAAATCTATTATTCAATGTGTTAAAATCACAATACTATACAATTTATAGGCAGTAGATAAAGTACGAACTTACTAACCAGGATCTATTAAAGTACTGCTAATTAATAGATACTTATTCAAACGATTTTTGGCAGGCCTATTGTGTGAGTACCGTTTTTGCCTTCAATAATAGATGAATAGAATTTCCAAGCAACTTCAAATTAGAAGAATAATAGGCTTATAAAGTATATAGATAGTGATATAAAGGAACACGAAATACCTTTAGATGAACATGGCGTCATACGCATAAAAGAAGTATCATGACACCCGTAAATACCTTGACGGCACAGTTAATGCGGTGGCTGGGCAATCGGCCATCGCGCAACGTGTTCGATTCCCGCATGGAGCAACTCTTTGTGTGATCCACAAATTATTTTTACGGGTCTAGGTGTTATCTGTATGTGAACTTGTGTGTTTGTAAACGCATCCACGATTTAAGAGAAAACCTTAATAAGGGGATTGCCCCTTTTTTAAAATATTTTAAAATAAAAAGAAAGAAAAAAAATACTTAACTGCCTCGTTGGCCGAGTGGTCGCAAGTGTGACTGCCGGGCAAGGGGTCTCGGGTTCGATTCCCGGGTCGGGCAAAGTTTTACTGGGTTTTTAAACAATCTCAGTAGTAGCACGGAGTCTAGAAATAAGCCCGGTATATAGCAATAGGCTCACCCCCTATTACTTGGGCCTAAAAACATAAATAGTGAGACGTGGGTGTTACATTGTACAGCGGCATTACGTGTCGTAATGTGCACCTCTGCCTACTCCTTTGGGGATAAAAGGCGTGATGTTATGTTATGTTAAGAATTGCTCGTTTAAACGTATTAGATATTCCAAGAATAGAACATAGTTCCATATAAAAAATAGTTCCTTAAAACTGCTCAATGTGTCATTGCGTGAACTAAAAGTCTCTTTTACCACAGATTGATAACAACGGCCACTCTATCAAGAATAAAACGACGGAGAAGAACATTATGAAACAAACATAAGACCTAGACTAGACGTGAGAGTACCTACAATACCTACAGTCAGTAATCTAACACGTACCTACATAAAAATGTAATAATTATAAAAGCAAATAAACGGTGATCGTCATCAATGTATTTGCATAATCGAGTCATGTTATGTATGTAGATAATAAACACGCATGTATGTACGTCAACGTTTAAGGCTAAACACTCACGACACGATTTTCTCACGCGCCCGCCGCGGTTATGGGCCCGGAGCCGTTGTAGAATACAGAGGCCTTAGTACTCGTACTAAGGCCTCAGATATGTATATAAAAAACAAAGCAATTTTCACGGCGCGTTTTAGGCCCGCGGCGGTTGCGATTTTTGCAGATCCCGCCTCACCGGCGGGCGCATCCGCGGTCCCGCAGCCCCGGCAGCTCGCATCTGCGCGTTCTGCGATATGTTGGCGGGCGATCACAATGGGACGGCGGGTATGAAACTCATCTTATTATTTAACCGCCCGCCCGTCTTGCGATAATTAACCGCCAAGTTTGCGGGCAATAATCGCCACCGCGGCAAGTGCGCGATAACACCGCGCCGTGAACCCTTACCCTTAATGAACGTATATTTATTTATATTGATTTAATGTTCATTTCAAGATTTGCTTTAGTTGACAATTGGACAATTAGTAGTAACTACGTTGACGTCTTTCTTAGTATTAACAATCATTTATTTTTTGCATTGATTGTCTAATCGCCTAATCGTCATATTCACTGGAAATGATGTGGCATGGCTTTGTTTATACTTGATAAGTTGACTTTACAAAAAGTTATGTTCAAAAAATCATTTCCTACTATCTAATATCCTACACGGACGAAGTTGCGGGTAATAGCTAATCTTCCCTAAAAACAAAAAAAAATCGAATGGAAAAATACTGCCTCGTTGGCCGAGTGGTCGCAAGTGCGACTGCAATGGGTCTCAGGTTCGATTCCCGGGCCAGGCAAAGTATTACTGGGTTTTAAAAAAAAATCTCAGTGGTAGCATGGAGTTTGGAAACGTGCCCGGTAAGTATATAGCAATAGGCTCACCCCCTATTACATGGGACTCATAAAATAAATAGTGAAAAGTGGGTGTTACTTGTGTGCACGTCTGCCTACCCCTTCGGGGATAATAGGCGTGATGTTATGATGTTATGTGGAAAAATACAAATTTTCCATTAACAAACGACCTTTAAAAGCACAGTTGTTTACGTATTATAGTATGGTTTTATTTCATAGCGTATTTTTAATAGTATTTCCCATGGTATGAATCAACAAGTTTGTAACCAAAGGTAAACAGGTTTTGAACAATTTTTGTTACAATTTTTTTTAAGTTACTTTGTTTTTGTTCTTAGTCTCTTATACATTACTTATATGATATAATCTTAAGCTAAAAATAGAACATTTTTTTATCTTTGTTTTCTTTTTGTAACATGTTTTTTGTAATTTATTTTCGGCACATGATTGGATGGTTATTACGACTTCATATTGATTATGTTTTGATGGGTTTTACCTAAAATATGGAATTGAATTAAAAAAGGTTAGTTTTGTTCTAGAAAAGCATACCTTTACAACGGAATATCGGTTTCAATTGAAAGCCATAAATAATTTCCTACGCTTATATTAATACACTTTCAAATGTTGCTTTTCTAACTGGTTATGCTTTCTTAGTTAGTTAGTAAGTGGGTGATTCTCCAAAAAAAAAACCAAAAAATGAACGGCGTCATTATCCTTAAGCCACAGTTAATAATTCTGCTGATTAAAATACAAAGTTTAGTATCAAAAAATTGAGCCATGTCACTGCTCTCACCCGATGCAATAAAATACAGATGCTAATAAGTTACCGCGATGCTTAACAACGCGGGAAGATAATGATTTGTTAAATAAAAGTTAAAGTTTTTTGAAGAAACACCCAAGTACCTAAGTTGATATTGAGGGACCTGTCCCTCACTATCATCATCAATGACTATAGCCTCCTCTGCAAGGAAGGTTTGTCATAATTTGTGCACGGTTAGCGCGATGGCTGGGCAACAGGCTGTCGCGCAACGTACGAGTTCCTGCACGGAGCAACTCTTTGTGTGATCCACAAATTGTTGTTTCTGCTCTTGATATCATCATGTATGTGATATTGTATGTTTGTAATTGCACCCATGATATAGGTGAAAATCCTAGAGTAGATCAACGTTTAGAAAAAACAATGGGTTGGAGATTATAGTTTATATTTCGAACAGATGTGAAGTATGGGAGAGCCATGCTTCGGCACGAATGGGCCGGCTCGACTGAAATAATACCACGGCCTCACAGAACAACGACGTGAAGCAACGCTTGCGTTGTGTTTCGTCATGTGAGTGAGGTTACGGGAGGCCCAGCTCCCTTACCCCTTCCCCAATCTTCCCGATCCCCGAATCCCCAACAATCCTCAAACTCCTAATCCCTAAAAAGCCGGTAACGCACTTGTAACGCTTCTGGTGTTCCAGGTGTCCATGGGCGACGCCGATTGCTTACCATCAGGTGATCCGTTTGCTCGTTTACCGGCCATATAAATGCCATAAAAAAACAGATTTATCTCTAATTAAGGGTCTTACCAATTAAACCTTTTAAAGATTAATGATCTCACACTTAGTTCAATATTAGGTAGATATTATTTTCCTGAGTAAATCTTGTTAATTATAAAAATCAATATAAAATCATGAGAAGTCACACGATTGACTCACACGTGAGTTGCGTTTAAGTACGGTTTCCTATTATTGGTGAAGGTCATGGTATGACTGTACCATGGTGACCAGGATACTGTCACTAATAACCATTTTTTGGATCCGGGATTATTCGGATTTCGTCATGAATTTGTAATCAGATCTCCCAATAATAGAAACGAATTAAAAGTAGTATTTTAAAGAAATCACCAGTTAATACGTATCCCTGAATAACATAACATAACATCACGCCTTTTATCCCCGAAGGGGTAGGCAGAGGTGCACATTATGCCATGGACAATGTAACACCCACTTTTCACTATTTATGTTACGAGTCCCATGTAACAGGGGGTGAGCCTATTGCCATACTGGGCACAATTCCAGACTCCGTGCTACTACTGAGAATTTTTAAAAAACCCAGTAATAATTTGCCCGACCCGGGAATCGAACCCGAGACCCATTGCCCGAAAGTCGCACTTGCGACCACTCGGCCAACGAGACAGTCCTGTATCCCTGCATACTAACATTTATTTAAATCTGGAAGTACCTACACTAAATGCAAATCAGTAATTTTTCGGTACCTGGAAATGACGAAAATTCACATTGGAAGCTAAAGTCCACTAAAGGTACCTACCGAGCTTATGGCAGAAAGAAAACAAATTACTTTTTATATTCCTTTCTACACATTTTTTATTATATTAATGCCTTAAAAGATTAGTTCTGTTTTTCGACTCTTTGCTATTCTATCTTCATGCGACGTAGTTACAAATGTTATGTTGTTTTTTAAGCCAGACCTATTATTAAAATAGCTGTTTACATACAACGCAAACTACGGAAAATTTCGGTAGTTTTTATTATGCCAACCATAAATTGAGTTCATTGTATGTACGGATATTTTAAAGGTATTTCCAACTTAATTCAATATTCTATGCATAAAAGTTTCCAACTAATAAAACATAGCATTTAGAATTTTAATAACAAAATTTCTGATGAGAAATTAAATATGTATATTGTTTATGTAGGTAGGTACCTACATAAACAATGCAGGAGTACCTATTATATACTACCTACTATACCTACCTATTATATATTTTGTTTACATAGACAAACCTACATAGGCATACCTACATAGGTACCTACAATTAATTATTTTTAAAATATCTGCAGCTGCAGAGTATATCAATAATTGGATCTTACTTAAAAAACTAATCACGGCATTCGTATTAATTTGGATTCATAATGCGACGCCTGTAACTTTATAATAGCAAGAATTATCGTGTGGTAGAATTGTAATTCGATCAAGTTAGGCGTTTTCGTATAATAAGAATAGTATCACTTTTTCCACTCCCTTATGACTTCTCAAAATAGGAACTTTCTCTTCTTTTAAACCTTTCTCACTTTTCTTCAAATATATTAAAACTATAATATGGTAAATCATTCAACGGTTCGTCATACACAGAACAATAAACACCAATTAATTTCTGACTATACCTTAGATATCGGGAGAAAAGTCTCCTAGGAGCTCCATTGTCGTTGTCAGCAGCTCTATGAGCTGTCAGGGCTCCGCTTAGTAGAAGGAAACAGTCGGTAAACATCCAGCCAGCTCGACACCACGACCATAGGGGAGAACTTGCTACCTGGAAGTGAAAAGAATGATCTAAGTATATTTCTTTTTATTTTCATTAATAGTTCATACTACATATAAATACATATATCACATGTCATGTATGTGTGAACTTGTGTGTTTGTAAACGCACTCACGACACAGGAAAATATCCTAGTGTGGGGCAATGTTTTTAAAAAATGATTTATTTTTTATGGCATTAGCCGGTAAACGAGCAGACGGATCACCTGATGATAAGCAATCGGAGTCGCCCATGGACACCTAGAACACCAGAGGCGGTACAAGTACGTTACCGGCCTTCTGGGGATTAGGAGTTTGAGGATTGTTGGGCATTCAGGGATGGGGTATGTTGGGGAAGGGGAGGGTAATTGGGCCTCCGGTAACCTCACTCATACGTCGAAACACAACGCAAGCGTTGCTTCACGTCGATATTCTGTGCGGCCGTGGTATCACTCCGGTCGAGCAGGCCCATTCATTCCGATGCATGGCTCTCCCACACTTAAAATATTGTAAAATTCGTCTAGCCCAGTAATTTGTACTCAGTTCCTTTACTGGACACTACCACTTGCAACCACTAAACTAACAAATCAAGGACAATCGTTTAATTAAGTATTAAGGTACTTTTAATTTCGGAATGGTATCGCCCAAAATATTGCCGCATAGGTATACCTAACGCCTACACTAACAAACATGGCAAGTTGCCAACAATAACATGCTCTGAAGAATGTTTGTTACACAAATATAACACTTCTGTCATAGGAATAAGAATGTCGTGAAATACGCAGTGCAGGGAAAGCGTTTGTCGATATTTTGACTATGGAAATGTAGAAGTTCTAATCGATTTCAGTATTTTAGCATTGTCGTATGTCTTTGTACAATTTAATTTAAAGTTTAAATAATTTAAATATATCAAATATATTCGTCAATCATAGTTTAGTATGTATTTCAAATTAAGGCATCAAAAATGTATTCACTGAACTTGTTTAATAATGTACCAATTGCATGTACAAGGTGTTGTTTTAAAGCCGCGTCATTTTCTAGGAGGTGGTAACTCGGCTATCGATTTTGAGCCTGAATCAATAAAAAAAATTGTAGGTAAATATTTTTCATGTTTCTGTAAATTACAGAAATCCGTAAGTCGGAACTACACGCCGCCGTCTTGTAACTAGTTTTATAACCCGCCTTAACACACACAAACTCAAACACGTAATTGATATTATTCCTAATTCCATAAAACTCCAATAAGAAACATTGCTATCGCTTATTCTGAAATACTGTCGAACTTAAACGATTCATTTTAGCCGTATTTTTAACTATTGGCCCGGATATATGCCACGGTTTCAAAACTACACCTTGTGTAAATAAAAGACAGTTCCATTATCAATTAATATTGATACCCCAACTAAATGAACAAATGGTCAGACCTAACGCAACAAAAACTATTAAAGTTCCACTCGTTGTTGTTACTGTTAAAGTTCTGTTCAAAACAATTAAATGTTACACACCATCGACAAACGATCACAACTAAATATCGACACCTCCCAGCACTATGGCTATTTATTTTACAGTCATGCTCTTCATGCAGATGCTCCAAATAAGATTCCATGGCAAGGTTTAGCACTCGACGGTCACTTGAGATAATAAACGGCGAATTCAATAATATATAATTATAATAATAAGTGTTGGAGAGCCAAGCTTCGGCACGAATGGGCCGGCTCGACCGGAGTGAAACCACGGCCTCACAGAAAACCGACGTGAAGCAACGCTTGCGTTGTGTTTCGTCGTGTAAGTGAGATTACCGGAGGCCCAATAGGCATGGCGACTATTTTTTAATTTTTTGTCCGTCTTTTAGATATTTTAAAAATCTTCGATACGTATTTTTTCTTTTTTCTCGTATCCAAAAAAACATGTAGATATTTTGAGTTAAAATGACGCGTGACGTCACACTTACGGAGAAATCGTACCTAATGACGTCAACACCCCCCACTCCCTAACTTTAATGCGGAATAACTACGTATTCTTTTGTTAATTTGATAAAACAAAAAATACGTGTCTGATATTTTCGTGCGATCTTAATGACGGACTTTTTTGATTTTTTTACCCTGTCGACACGCCTATTACCGTCCCCTTCCCCAATTCCTGAATCCCCAACGATCCTCAAACTCCTAATCCCCAAAAGGCCGGTAAAGCACTTGTCACGCCTCTGGTGTTTCAGGTGTCCATGGGCGACGTCGATTGCTTACCATCAGGTGATCCGTGTGCTCGTTTACCGACTTATGCCAAAAGAAAAAATTCACACTCATATTGAAATTCATTTCTCATATTCAAAATACAGTAGACGTGTAGTTTTACTTTAATTTAATGACAATTTTCTTAATACATGACAATGGCATCGAGACCAGAGTTATAACTATGGTTAACAGTAGGTACTAATATTTTGAACTAAATGAAGATTAAAAGTTATGTATACTGTGTTGGTTTTGTATTCTTAACATACCATCATCACGCCTTTTATCCCCGAAGGGGTAGGCATAAGTGCACACAGAAGTAACACCCACTTTTCACTAATTATGTTATGAGTCCCATGTAATAGGGGGTGAGCCTATTGTCATATACCGGGCACATTTCCAGACTCCGTGCTACAAGATTTTTTTTAAAAACCCGGAATTACTTTGCCCTACTAGACAATCGAACCCCAGACCCCTTGCGACCACTCGGCCAACGTCTCTGTCTCTTCTGGGTCTTAAAAAAACTCCTCCTTTTTTTCAAACACAACAATGCTCTTTTGTTCCTGTTAGGAAAAGCGCAAGCGATGCTCCGGTGTTACAGACGTTCATAGGCTACAATAACTGGGGACTTTCCAACTAGTCAAATTCAATACTTTTTCGACCGCTTTCTATGCATTTTGTACGAGATTGTGTATTCTGACGTCACGTTTTTTTAGCGTCAAACATCATTTTAATTGTTGGTAAAGTACTAAAATTAGGTTTCTAATAAAATCAATTAATGAAAGTGTGATTATTTTTTAATATTTTATTGTATTGAACAGTCGAAATAATTTATTTATGATTAACCCAACTATTAAGCGAAATATGAGTTTATTTGTCTCATCACTTAGATCACACCATCTTCCATCAGACAACGTCCATCAGACATCGTCCATCAGATCCTCAGTAGGAAACATTAAAAAGACTACCTGTCAACTGTAAATGTTACTTTACCTACGCCTACCTTCCTATCTTTCAAACCCCATGGATATTCCTCTTCCTGCACCTCCGATTCCAAAAAAAAATCTATGTATTTGTTCTAGGTACCTCTGTTATCCTGATTCTATTGGTATACGGCATCACAGCAACCGGCAGGAACTTGTGGGCGATCAGTAAGGCGATGGTGGCGATGCCTCTAACGCCATGGATGCAGGAGATCTCATCATCAGTGCCTGGAGCCGTCAGCTTGCTTATCGTGTAGTAAAGCGAGAAGGAGTTTAGTATACCACCTGTGGAAGGGAGAGAAGAGAGGTAGATAAAATTAGGAGTAAAAGAACTGTAGGGGCTGGCATCATCGCTTCGCGATTAAAGCCTTTTTCTTAAACTAAAGATTAAAAAAAAGAACTGTAAAACTGCAGTAACTACTATATTATGAACATAATAATTAGGCTATATCATTTTTGTTGGCTGTAAAGGTCAAAATGATAATAAGCAAAATGAATTTATTATTATTTTCCCCAAACGTGTGAAGTCTAATTGGAAAATTCTCTGAACACACAGATCTGCTGGGCTATAATAATACCTACTGCAACTTTCAATTCGAAGGATCGAAGTGTTCTCGTTTGCTGACCGTCATGCGTCATGTCATTGGTTATGAGAATAATCTCGACCAATGACTGGTGAGAATGCGATCGAGCTCACTTAGAAAGTTCGATGTAACATACATACATACCTCTAACATCACGCCTTTTATCCCCGAAGGGGTAGGCAGAGGTGCACATTATGCCACTGTACAATGTTGTACCCACTTTCCACTATTTACGTTATAAGTCCCATGTAATAGAGGGTGAGCCTATTGCCATATACCGGGCACAATTCCAGCCTCCGTGCTACTACTGAGATTTAAAAAAAAACCAGTAATACATTGCCCGACCCGGGAATCGAACCCGAGACCCCTTGCCCAGCAGTCGCACTTGCGACCAATCGGCCAACGAGGCAGTCGAGTTCGATGTAACAGTTACATAATAACCTAGTTGATTTATGTATGGTCATAGACTTCTTCCTGCTAATGAGAATAATATAAGTAACAACAAAACAAAACTTCAACAAACCCTACACTTATGATTATGATTCATACGAGAACAAACAAAAAGATCATGTAGGTATGACTCATAAGAAATCAATTATACACCGCTATACGCGAAATAATCAAAAATATCTGGACTAACCTTGTATCACCAGAATGCCAAGCGCTTAAAGATTTTATATCCTAAACAGATGTGCTGCATAAATCTTTCCCAAGACTTTTGTAATATTATTCAGGTCATCTTATTTTTAACAGTCGCTTTTATTTATTGTAACGGTATTACGTCACTACAGTTTCATCAAGGGGGTAAATACCACAATGTACAAAAGCTAAGCAATCAAATATTAAATATCGCATTTTGAATTACAATGTTATTATTTTATTTGACCAAAAAATCCATACCATGGCATAATCAAGGAGGATGCCATTGCAATCCTCCATTATTTCCAAAGTCCCATTATGGCATCACGCCTTTTATCCCCGAAGGGGAAGGCAGAGGAGCACATTACGGCATTTAACGCTCCTGTACAGTATAACACCCATTTTGTCTATTTATGTTATGAGTCCCATGTAATAAGAGGTGAGCCTATTACCATATACCAGGCACACTTCCAGACTCCGTCCTGAGAATTTTTAACCCAGTAGTACTTTGCCCGACCCGGGAATCGAACCCGAGACCACCTTGTCCGACATTCGCACTTGCGACCACGTGGCCTACGAGACAGACTGGGTAATAGCTATAGAAATTAAACAGATGAGGACATAGCTATGAGCCATAATAGAGAATATAATAGAGGAACTAAGTATTTTTTAAGTGGGGAATAATCATCGAATGACTTCTCCCGCTTGGGTGAGGTGGGAGGGAGTGTCAGACTCTTACTGACTAAAAACCACCCCGTTCCTACTGCTGCACTTCGAGCCGGAGCCCCGGTTACCCGTTAGGTTCTCCGCGGCTCCAGAAGAACTAAGTTTAGGAATATCACATTCACAGTCATAATCACGATTATTCTTACACTGTAAAGTAACCCTTCCTAAACTAATTGACATAGTTCTTTTCAAATAATCCTTTGTACCTGTTTTCTTACTACCACTCGCTCCCTTTTCTTCATCTTTAGTTTCTTCCTCATTGCCCTCCGCCTTTTCATCAGAGTCTTCACTCTGACTCTCTGATCTTCTTGCAAGAAAGTCTTGAACAGTCGCCACAAGTACCAGCAGAAGGATGACACCATAGAACGATCTGGAAACATTACAATCATCCGGATTAGCAAATAATATTACTTTAAAAAACCGACTTCAAAAAAGCCAAAAACTAATAACAAACAAAAAGTCAAAACTAAAAAGCAAAAAATAACTATGATTAGTACTGATAGATTACCCACCCACTGATAGGTAAGAAGTCGGTGCCATAAGTTCCATACAAAATTATTCATTAAAACCTTAATAGGTACCTAATTCACATTTATGTGGACATTAAGTTATATCATTATGATATGATCTTATGGCACCGACTTCTAACCTATCAGTGGGTGGGTAATCTATCAGTACTAATCATAGTTATTTTTTGCTTTTTAGTTTTGACTTTTTGTTTGTTATTAGTTTTTGGTTTTTTTGAAGTCGGTTTTTTAAACGCAGTTTTTATTTTATTATTTTATCATTTTCAGTGTAAAGCTACATATACCCGTTTTGTTACTTATAATCTACATAGGTGCAAAGTTCTAATCAATACAAATTAATCAAGCCCAAACACAAGGTAGTTACTGTATACCGTTAAGGAGTTCCTTTAACAATTACACTTCTTCATCATCAGATCCTTAATGACAGCGCTACTCTATTTAGGTGTAAAGTCCTCATCAATCCAAATTAATCAAGCCCAAACTCAAGGTAGTTAATATAAACGGCTGAGGAGTTCCCTCGACTGCCTGTCGGCTCCATCATTAGGTCAACTCCAGACCCTTATCAAATTGTAGTGTTTCAAAATCCTAATTGAAAAATATAATAGACGCATTACTCGCCCATAGAATTTTCGAAAGTTCCCCTCGGTTTCCCTAGGATCCCATCACCAGATCCTGACCTCATGGAAATGGGACCATCTCGGGAGTATACCCTTTCAAACAAAACAAGAATTTTGGAAATCGGTTCACAAACGGCGGAGTACTGCGCGAACAAACAAAAAAAAAAAAAAAAAAACAATCAGCCGAACATAGTACCTCCTCCTTTTTTTGAAGTCGGTAAAAATGAATCCTACCGGCCAACGAGGCAGCCCCTTGCCCGGCAGCAAGGGGTCTCGGGTTCGATTCCCGGGTTTTCTCAGTGGTAGCACTTAGTCTGGAATTGTGCCCGGTATATGACAATAGGCTCACCCCCAATTACATGAGATTCATAACATAAATAGTGAAAAGTGGGTGTTACATTGTACAGTGACATAAAGTGCCGTAATGCGCACCCCTGCCTACCCAATTGCGGATAAAAGGGTGATATTATGTTACATTAAATTAATTTTTGTTTATCCAGATTTGATTTGAGCTTTTAAAGATTTATTGATCCAATTTTGCTAAAATTATCTTTGGAAGCTTCATTAAAAAACATCTTATTTTAGTCACTCTCATTATCCTCGCGGAAAACGACTCATTAAAAAGAAACATTGGGCTTAGCTAGTCTCATTATTCCAAAATTCATTTAAAATAACTGCCTCGTTGGCCGAATGGTCGCAAGTGCGACTGCCGGGCAAGGGGTCTCGGATTCCTGGGTTGGGCAAAGTATTACTGGGTTTTCATCAAAAATTCACAGTAGTAGCACGGAGTCTGGAATAGTGGTCAGTATATGGCAATAGGTTTTACCCCCTATTATATGGGACGTGCATGGGACCCTGTGCATAGGATTCATATCATAAATTGTGAAAAGCGGGTGTTACATTGTACAGTGGCATGATGTACACCTCTGCGTTGACCTGTACGTACGTACTGCACGGATCTCCTCTGTTGATACCAAACATTGATATTGCAAATTAATACTAAAACAACATGTGAATGCTGGAATCGATCCGGCGGCACTTTACTTGATAACTGGAGGCGATAACCATTGCGTCAAGCGCGCTGTAGATGAGATCATCGAAATATTGTATATCATTCAGTAACATAAAAATACGATGAGAAAACACTATATTTCTATGGGTATTGTATAGCTCGATCGTTCATTATTTGATTTCGATTTATTCAATGTTTGTTATGAGTATTTTTATCTTTACCCTCGATTTTATTTAAACTTATTTACAAAATTATTCGTATACCGACACAAAAATGATATTTAAATACCAAGATGTGTGTGATAGACGAATGTTTCTATACATATCTATTAATATGAAATTACCCACACATGTATATTGTGTAAATGATAGTAGTGTCGATGTGTGCTGCGAACTAATTAGCGGTGTTTTGTGTACGTTTGTGCGCGTTTTGCAATTATCTCGCGATTGGCTGAACTGATTTTGACGTGGTTTTCAAAAATATGTTTGTCACACATAGGACGTTAGTATATTAATTAACTCGTCAAGTACCGTCATTATAGACACAATTAAAGATCAATAGGTTGCGGTCACTGGTGACCGCTTGGTGTTTGACAGTTTAACCGACTTCAAAAAAAGAGGAGTTAAAGTCGGTTTTTTTAAATGTTGATAATAAAATTATTATGGGTTTCAAAGTCAAAGTCAAAGTCAAAATCATTTATTTCAATTAGGCCAGAATGGCACTTTTGAACGTCAAAAAAATATTGAAAGTGAAGCTATTTGCCTTTATAGTATTGGTACACCAGCGGGAAGAAGTCATAGAGATCAACTCTTCTAACTGAACCAATACTCACAATGTCAAGAGTGTCGGCAGTTCCGTCCACTCGTCCCAGTAATCCCCTTCTTCAACATGACAGTCCTCTTCGTCCACCTTGACGCGAACAACCACTCCGCTGGTGTGCTGGTAGTGCTTGACGGCATCCTTGATGACCACCTCCACATCCTCAGGGTTGCAGGCGGCTGGCACGCAGACTCCCCAACTCAACGTTGAAAATCGCGGCACAAAGTGACCTGGCTAAACAAAGCATGGGGACGCTTAGTGTTTTAAGTTCACGTACAATAATTACAAATAGGCAAAGTAGAATAACTAGGAACACCTGTTGAAATGTGATCCCCTAAATTTGTTCATACAAAAGTAGTCTCTAATCATTGAAAATAAGGTCTATAATGTAGTTAGTGAAGAGCGGTCACCGGTGACCGATTGGGGATGAAATCAATTTCGTACGATAAGATAATAACATAATCAATACATAGTATAAAACAAAGTCGCTTTCGCTGTATGTCCGTATGTATGCTTAGATCTTTAAAACTACGCAACGGATTTTGATGCGTTTTTTTTTAATAGATAGAGTGATTCTTAAGGAACGTTTGTATGTATAATACATGCATATTGCACCCGTGCGAAGCCGGGGCGGGTCGCTAGTGTCTTATAATCTCCTAAGCCTTAGGAGATTAACTATTCCTTCGAACCTAAACCTTACTAACTTTTTTAAGAAAAAATCGTATAAAAATTTGAACAGGCAAAAAAGGGTTTATAAGAAAGTGTTCTAAATTGATTATTTTTTAATTCAGAGTCACTCGTCTTTTTGAGCATTAATTTAATAGCAGTAGTCTCTTTAATTACCTATCAAACAAAAACGACAGACAATACTCATACAATTTCGTCGATAGTGAATTAGTGACATCTGTGATACTGTTTGGTCACTAACATATTGTTCAGTAATTATAAATTGTTTACTTTTATCTTATAAGTACCGTTAAATTCTTAAGAACTTACTCAAACAAGACTGACATTCACGTTTATCCCATGAATCCCTTGTAATTATGTAGGCACAATTCTAGACTTCTTACTATAATTGGGAATCTTTCAAAAACCTGAAAATCTATTCGTAAAAATAACTATTCATAAAGCCAACCTCAATAATAATCTTTATTAATTTAATGTAACGAAATACTAATAGAATACAATATTCTATTTATAATGCCACTATAATAATGATGAATACTTACATATAATAATACATTAATGGAATGAAACATTTTCTAAATATAGCATTCGAAATAGCTTTTGTGAGTGAATCAGAATAACCCTGCTCAGTTTATTCCCATATGAATTGAACATGATAACATATAATTATGTAAAAGTTACATATAACAATGTTAAGTGAATGTACGAACTATAATAAGCTGAACAATTATAGTAACAAGAAAAGTAATTTAAAGTCGGAAATAAAAATATTTTATTAGTATCTAAAGAAAGTGTTTCTTGACTATTATTTAGATGACTGTGAAATTCTAAAAGTTAAATACTTGAAAATGCAATATTGCCCGACCCGTGATTCGAACACAAGGGAATTTTGTATCTGACGGAAACCCGAAAACTACATACACTATTAACAAACCTCTTTTTTATCATGGGATTAGCCGATAAACGAGTAGACGGATCACCTGATGGTAAGCAATCAACGCCGCCCATGGGCACCCGGAACACCAGAAGCGTCACAAGTGCGTTACTGGCCTTTTGATTCAGGGATTGGGAAAATTGGGAAAATTAGGCCTCCGGTAACCTCATTCACAAACTACGCAAGTGTTGCTTCACGTCGGTTTTCTGTTAGGCCGTCTATCACTCCGGTCGAGCCGGCCCATTCGTGCCGAAGCATGGCCTCTACACACTTTCAGGTGTAAACGAATCAAGAAACTGTGACATTGAACCTTCATCGTCAGCATCAAGAAATATGATCACGATTCGTTTCGTCATATATTTTTATAGGCAGACAGTGACCAGTGACTCGACTAGTAAGGTTGGCACCGATATATGCACGATGCGTTTGACAGACAAATGATGCAACTGCAGCCAACCGCGTGGCCGTACATAAATATAAGACAAGGGGTTTCAATGTTCCTTTTTGGATATCAGAATTGACAGAATCTCGATATGGCAAAGTCTGGATGTGAAGGGTTGAATCGAACTCAGTGAGTGAGGTCTGTATCCAGCAGTGAACGAAGATATCTTATGATAATGGTGAAGTCTGTCTTTGTTCTGCGTGGAACCAGCTAATGCCAGAAATGAAACCAACGTTCGAAAAGGTTGAGTTCAACACCAATAAATAGATCAAATTGCACGCCCCTTTTTAAAAATGTACTTTATTTAAAAAAGGGGTCAAACGAAATTAAAGTATTTTATTGTAACACAAACTGAATAAGCACAAAGCAGAGAAAAATAAGTTTTAGAAAACGATCCTTAAATCGTTTTCCAATTTCCAAATCCTAAATTGGAGTTTGATTTCTTCCATGTCTTTAGATTTCCTAAAACTGAGTACGTGGCCAGTTTTAGAAAACTCGTTCAAAGTGCTTTTTAAGTACTAGTTTTAGTATTTCGACTTAGCTACAATACTATAGAGTCTGGAATTCATCAATTTCATAAGATGCAATATAAATATTATGAAAAGTTCATCCAGAAATGCCTGTCTATTTTGTTACTCATTGATATAATTTACATCCCTTTGAAAAGATGTCCACCATATTATGTCTAGCCCAGTCCAATCTTCATACTTCATAACCATTCACTATTTCAATATTTTAATATCTCAAACAAAACAAACATCAACGTTTCGTGTATTATAGTAAGCTACAAAAAATAAAATCGTATGAATAAACAATAACCTCTCAATTTAATAGACTGCAATGCAGTTTATTTGTTCAAAACTTCAAATAGTACGTTTGTATTAAAAAATGAAGTAGACCGTCGGTAGAAATGTAAGGAAAATGTAATTTAATTGATTACATAGTTGGTGCGGTGGCTCGGCACCTTGCTACCGTGCACGGGTAGCGAATTCGATTACCGCACAGAGCAACTTTTTATATGATCCACATAATGTTGTTTAGGGTCTGGGTGAAATGTGTGTGTGTGAAATTGTATGTTAGTAAACGCACCCACGACACAGGAAAAATAAAAAAAATTATGAGTAGGGCAATGGATTTTTCAAATAAAAACTTTAAAATATTTATAACTGAAACTCACATCATCGATCCGACTCCTGATCAAGTTCTTGGCTTGCGCCAGATGCACGGGCGTCTCCAGCTCTGGGTGTTCTGCCTTCACGTCTAGCCGAGCCAAACAGTACTTCCCTTGGACCTTGACAACGCTGCCACTCTCCAACTGAACCCTCGCACGGCTCCCCACGCACTGGTCAAAGTCACCGAGCTGGATTCCATTACCTTGCAGGATACCCGAGGGAATCTTCGCCGTAGCGTCAAGCACTGTAATGAAAAATTCCTGTTTCGTTCAACTATGCAAAACCCTTGGGAACACCTGAGGCTAACACAAACGCGTCAAGGCCAAGTCAATGTTTACTCCTCTTTATAATCCCTTTGTGTATTATTCTCGGCCTCAACCTTGGACTTGTATAAACCAAACATTTGGCGTTTAATAGCCAACACGTAAAATAAAAATGTCCTTCAATTATACAGTAAACCCCTTGATTAAGGAGTTGCAATAACTCGTTATTTATATATTTTTTTCCGCACAACATCTGTTGTGGAAATATCTGAAACATTGCCAATATAAATAGTTGTACGTTAAAGTAATTATTTCGGTTAACGGATATAAATCTCAAAATACGATTGTTGCATTTCTAAACTTTGTTTCTTGGATCGTGTTAAGAATGAAGCAATACAAGTAATGTATACTTACTATTCAGGGCCCATAGTTTTGTGCCTCGTAATTGCCTCAATACAATCTGCCCGTGACGCCTGCATTCCGGATTATGAATTCGAGAAAAATTTGGTGCAAATGTGGGAAAAAATGCATAAAAGTCTTCAAATTCACTTCTGAGCAAATTACGCCGGTGCAAAGCGTCCGTAACGTGTTTTAAATGACTCTCAGTCGACGACGACATTTCTGGAATATCATAGAACTTTTCTTTTGATGTTTTATCGACTTTTTTATCTGAATCCGATTTACTGTCTTTTTTAAAGTCATGCATATTGTAAGTGTCTTTGATAGGGTATTTTTTCTTATGCTCTGGAACGATATTTTCTGTTATTTTTAGATCTTCGTGACTTGACAGTTTGTCATCCTTTTCTTTAGATTTTTCTTTGACTGGCTCTTTTTCGTGTTCTTTTTTTACTGTTTCTTTCTTTGGTTTATCTTCTACGTGTTTAGGTTCTTTTTCTTTTTTCTCTTCCTTTTTAGGAGATGGTTTCTCGGAATCTTTAGTTTTATCTTTGTCTTTTGAAACTGGTTTATCAGGTTTATGATCATCTTCTTTAGTTTTAGTATTACTTTCTTTAATATCCTTTTTAACGGGTTCCTCCTTTTTGCTCTCTGGTTTAGGTTTCGTCTCAATCTTTTTCTCTTCAGTTTTAACTTTGATTTCTTCTTTGAAAGGTTTCTTCACTGGTTCAATCTTTTCTTTGGTTTCTTTTTTGGGTTCAAGAGGAGATTTCTTTTCGATTTTAGATTTACCTTTAGGAGTTTTAAGTTTTTTTATAGTCTGTTTGTCGTCATCATCATCATCGTCCTCATCATCATCGTCGTCGTCTTCATCGTCGTCATCATCATCGTCATCATCGTCAGTTCCGAAAATTGATTTGAAAAAGGGTTTTGACTGCGTTTCTTTAGGTTTTTCCTCATCAGGTTTTACTTCACTTCTTTTGACAACAGCTGGTTTAGACTTGTCGTCATGTTTAGATTTTTCACCAGGATCATCTTTATCATTTAAATGTTTTTTGTCCTTACTTTTATGTTCTGTTTTCTTAGTTTCATGAATTTTAGTCGTTTCTTCAAGGCTCGGATCAATCTTTAAACCTAGCATATTGAATGTTTCCAAAATACTTGATAAAGTTCCACTATAGAAATCATCATCATCATCATCGTCGTCGTCGTCATCGTCGTCATCTTCATCATCGTCGTCGTCATCATCATCATTGTGTTCCGTAGATTTTGAAGTGGGTTTTGTGACTTCTGAGCTCTGATCTTTTTTTACCTTTTGATCTATTTTTTTCACCTCTGGTGCTCTTGGTTTTGTAGGAATTCGTGGTTCGTCATCATCGTCATCCTCATCATCGTCATCCTCATCATCTATTTCTTTAGATTTCAGTAAAGATGCTTTGAAATCTGATCTTTTAGTTTCATGTTTTAGCTTTTGTTCAGTTTTTTTAACCGGTTTGTGATTATCGTCATCATCATCTTTGTCCGTAACTTCTTTTGGTTTAGGTGAGGAAAATTTAAAATCTGTTTTTTTATCATCTTGTTTGATTTTCAAGTCGGGTTTTTTTAATTCAAATACTTTTGATTTTTGAACTATTTGCGGTTTATCATCATCATCATCATCATCATCTTCAACGTCATCATCGTCACCCTCGTCACGTTTCACAACCTTAGAAAAGGAATCCTTGGCTTTTGAACTTTTTATATCTAGTTTCGGTTTAACCTTAAACTCACTTTTCCTAACATCGATCACTTTTGACTTTTTCAATAAACTACCTTTAATGTTGTCATCATGTTCTTCATCATCGTCGTCGTCTGTATCTAAGCTTAAAAACTTTTTACTACTCGCCTCTAATTTTACTTTACTAGCGGGAGCGTCCTGTTTTAACCCTGTTTTAATTTTCAAAACATCCTTTCCGTCATCATCATCGTCATCGTCTTCGTCGCTTTTGAAATCAAATTTGTGAGCAGATTTCGTTTCAGCCGTCAGATGTACCTGTTGCTTATCCCGGCCCACCTTCTTCAAATCTTCAAACACATGTTTTTCACTTTCGATTTTAACACTATGCAACTTATGACCGTCCTTCACTTCACAATCGTCACACTTTTGCTTTTTTATATCGTGTTTCACAGTCTCGGCTTTAGGTAAATCGCGTACACGGAATGCGGTTATCACTGTGGCAAGGATAGGCAGGCAGATTAAAATTAGAGCTAGCGTCCATCGTTGGCGCGCCATGGCCGACGCGGTGCGCGCTCACGTCGCCATACTCCCGGACTGAAACGATCACGAACCTTGGCGTTTATTTGTAACGCACGGGTTAAGGCGTATCTCATTGAAACGGGTGCTCATTGATGGTTCTCGGTCGAGGTTATGGGTTAGTAAGAGTATTTAAAATTTTTGTAGGAGCGGGTACGTATATCTGTGGGGTTAGTAGTTGTGAACTGGCGTTAGCTCAGCTGATGGCGCCCGTCCAAGATCAGAGTAAAAATAGTGTTGCGAAGTCAATTGTCCGGCGGTCGCGCGCTGTACCGATTAGATTGACTGTATTGTGATAGATCAGCGTTATTGTTGCTAAGGATTGAGTTTTGTATTTATTTCATTGTAATTTGTATTAAAAAGTATATAAAAAAATGTTATTAACTAAAAAAAATGTTAAAAGATCAAACTAAGTAAAGAATCAACCACAAATTCCTTAACAACAATGTCAGTACTGTTCACAAAGAAACGATATTTTAGAATATTTTACTTATATTGCAATATTATTGAATTATGTCAAATAAGAATAAAATTAATAAATCTGTCACAAAGTTGTAACAGTACAATACATAAATTGTCACGTGTAGGTACTTGTAACACAAAAACACCTGTATCATATTGGCTGCCTCATACCGCATATTATTATCAATCTCTACAATTCTCTAAATTTATTTATACACAACTTTCCTTAAGTTATTTAGGTAAATACAATGTTCACGTGTATTAATTTTGATCAACTCGTGTCAATCCAATTAAAATTATCCAGTTTTAACTGCTTCGTACTTATTTAAAGTTGTTTTCGAAGTTAAAACCTTGTTTATAATTAATTATATTGTTCGGGAGACCTAGTACTAATGTTTCAAATGTTCGTAAAGTAGATTCGTTATTCTAATTAGCCTAACTTTTGAGAGCTAAATTCAGCCGATTGATGACAATATTTTGTACCAATAAGGTTTATTTTTCCGTGGGTTTACTCATTAAAACATTGTATGTTTAAACATGTAAATATGAATAGTAGAACATAAACCACTATGAGTCATTTGCATAATTTAAAATAATGCGTTGACTCATAAGCGCCTGACGTAAAACTTACAGCAAACATTTACTGTCATGCTGCTATTCATTTTTAATAGGCGCCATGTCTTTAAAGTTTCTATTTTAACTTCTTGACGACTGAAATAACTCGTTAGATTGAATATTTATTTGAATTTTATTTTTTTTATTATTTCAGGTCAAATGAAATGTTCTATAACATCACGACTGTTTCTTAATATTCTTAATATGAACTAATTGTTTAACATAAATAGACTATAAACAATTATTTCCTATCACCATTGATATATAAAAATGATAGTAAGTAATGTATGTCTACTACATTAATATTCTTATATCTCATTGTATGCTTATTTATTATATATTTTTCTTTCATTCATACGTGTATTTTCATGGCTTTTTTTTTTAAGGTGGGAAAATCATCGAATGACTACTCCCGCCTGGGTGAGGCGAAAAGGAGTGTCAGACTCTTACTGACTAAAAACCACCCCGTTCCTTCTCCTGCACGTCGAGCCGGAGCCCCGGTTACCCATTAGGTTTTTCATGGCTTAAGATTCAAATACATATTCCATTCATAAAGGGAAAGAAGTTTCCAATTTAACCAGTACCATACCCTCAACCTCATATAGGGTAGTATATAAGATATTGATAACGACTGCCTCGTTGGCCGAGTGGTCGCAAGTGCGACTGCCGGGCAAGGGGTCTCGGGTTCGATTCCCGGGTCGGGCAAAGTACATATTACTGGGTTTTTAAAAGAAATCTCAGTAGTCGCACAAAGTCTGGAAATGTGCCCGGTATATGGCAATAGGCTCACCCCCTGTTACATGGGACTCATAACATAAATAGTGAAAACTGGGTGTTACCTCTGTGTGCACCTCTGCCTAGCCCTTCGGGGATAAAAGGTGTGATGTTATGTTCATGTTTAAGTTATGTTGTTAAAAATATTGTTATCGACCTGATAAGCAATCAATTTATTGTGTTTTACTATAAAAAAAGGAAATAAGGAAGCAAACATGACACAGCAAAAAAGTATTGTACTCAATAAAAAAACTGGCATTCTTAACATTGTACACTGAACAAAATCGGCTAAACGGACTTAAAAATAAATTACCAATAAAACCACATTTTACGATACTTACATGCTTATTAAAATAAAAATATAATAACCCAAGGTTAACAAATACTTTCGATACATTTAGTACGAACTCTGCTGGTACCGCAAGGGCAACCTGAATCAAAAACTACTTTTATCCGAATCCTTTTACTGTAAAATCCTGAAGGCTATGATTACACAATCAAAGTACCTACTAGGTCAATTATTAATTCTTATTTTTGGACCTTTAACTATAATGCAAATTGACCCACATAGTTATTATCTGTATTATAAAGAAATAAGAATTAAATACCTATTCTAAAAAAGAATAAGGGAATAACTTTTTTGTGGGTCGTATTAATACAAGTTTCATTTATTTAAATAAAAAATTTCATTGTTCATCCTACGGAGAATTGCATCGTTCATCCTGCGGACAATTTCATCGCTCATCCTGCGGGCGGCGAGCTCACCAGACCACCACAGATGGGGCCCAATAGGGCTGATACGGAGTCGCGGAGAACGTAACAAGTTACCGGGGCTCCGCGCTCCGGCTCGAAGTGGAAGCGTAGAAACAAGGTGATTATTAGTCAGTAAGAGTTTGACACTCCCTTTCGCCTCACCCAAGGCGGGAAAAGTCATTCCATAGGTTTTATATTTCTATGAATCATTCGATGATTTAATTTTATCATCTATGACAAGGATTGGCCGCAAAAAGCTTTACATAGAGAGGAGTGGAAGAAGGGCTAAGGAGGCCTTTGCCCTGCAGTGGGATGATCATGTCTGAAAATAAAATAATAAATAATTCGTTGATTTCCCCCCTTAAAAAAATCGCTCATTTATGCAGTCCAATGGCAATATTTAATACAAAAAGCGTTAACCGCGACGCTTAACTATTGAGGAAAATTAGATTCTTCGAAATACTGAAAGCACCTTATGAAGTAAAGGTACCATAAATTAATCAAAATACAATAACCGTCACTAAGTACACTATTTTGTAGAGATCTGTAGAAACCATGCACATTAAATATTCCTGTAACTGAAAAAAGTCTTACAATTGACTTGACAATATTCTATAAAGACATAAAAGACCATGCTACCTATATACACACTATATACATAAAACACTATGCTATAAAAATAAGACCCATAATCGCACTTGAAAATTCAGCGGTCCGAATCATTGATTGATTTATAACTAAACGTTTCGCAAGGCAACCCTGACTATGAGCGGCCAGCATTAGCCAAATACATGAGTAATGCATATACCACATTGTATTGTAATGAGCTCTCCGCGTTGCATATAAAAACGATGTGAACTAGACCTTATGATCTTATCGTAATTTACCCTTGTGCCTATTAATTGATTTTGACCCCTGGAATGCTGAAAGAGTTGTTGTGTGTAACCTCTTTGCAGAAGGGGTAGACAGAAATGTGCGAATAGTCTAAGAGCATGCTTATATCGACATATAGGGCAGGGACATTGTACTGAAGTTTGATTGACAAACCTGATAGTACTTTATCTTACCAGAATTTGATCAGGAGACAGTTGTATCTGCAGTTTTATAATACCTTTCACATGGACTAATTTAAATTAAAATTATTACTTACTCATCGCATACATTTATGCACACAAGTACATTCCCACTATTACTGCTCGATCTTGGTGTAATTATAGCGGTACAGGATCTGGTTGAACCAGAATTCCATATTAAAATACCTGTTGCTAGTTCAGTATACAATAATGATATACCTCACACCGGCTTAAGAAGTTTAATTTACTTCTTTACACTCACACTGATACATACGTAAAGATACATATGCAATGAATATTAGATTAAGTATTTTTCTTCCAATTTTAATACCAGCAGTATCACGTAACAGGATATTAGTCTATAACCAATGTCGCGGAGAACCTAACGGGTAACCGGGGCTCCGGCTCGACGTGCAGGAGAAGGAACGGGGTGGTTTTTAGTCAGTAAGAGTCTGACACTCCCTCCCGCCTCACCCAGGCGGGAGAAGTCATTCGATGATTTTCCCCCCTTAAAAAAAAAAAAAAAAAAGTCTATAACCAATATCAACAGTCGGTGATTGTTCATCATAGGACAACATGAGCCAACTGTACATATTCTCATGACCTTTCCCTAAAGACAACTCCAAACTACATACCATAAAAAATTAAAAAAACACGACGTCAATCCTTTAACCAAACATAGGATCAGTCACTCTGCATAAAAGTGCAGTCACTCTGAATAAATACTTTGAATTTGACTTTTGACTTTGCAGTTACACTCACCCAAGCAGCAGCGCGGTCAACAAGCCAGTCCGGTCTCAACCGTGACCAAAAAGGTGGACCATGTTCGTGCACTGTCACTGATGGACCTTGGAGACGAACAAAGGACTGGGTAACATACTAATCAATCCACACATTGTTAATCTGATTAGTATCTACTTTGAACTTTAAATTAGTACAAGGCTTGTAATTCAACATTGAAACTGAGTTGAGAAATGGGATGTAGAATAGGGACTTCAATTTTTATCTTCTGGCTCGAATTAGGATAAAATATTGACCATTCAGTGAAGTTTAGCTCATATTAACGTCATCATCATAAGGCATAGGACGTTCCCCACTGAACATAAGCCCCTCCCCCCCCCACCCTCCTCCTTCCTCAGTGTCTCTTTTGTGTCTTGTCTTCCCCAGTGACTTATTCAGATCTTATTTATTTGATTATCTGATTTGAAACGAATCTAAAATCTAAAAAACTGTTGAAGGCAAATCCCCGCTTATGTCGGTCACCGGTGACTGCCATGGCGTTTAACGTGTTATCTGATAACGATTCAATGACTTCACGACTACCAATCAGTCACATATTTTACCAATAATTATGATAAGTTTCGTGAGCATGAGACATACTATATATTCTTTATTATGTTGTTTTCGGCTATTTCACGTAACTATTTGACGAGGAACTTGAATAGTTTCAAGCCATGCTAGAAGCTCATAGTCACAGCAGCATACTGCGTAGCAGCGCGACAGTCGCC